TCATCTTTTTAATTTTGAACACCAAAAGAACATTCATTGTTTAAAAGACCAAATAACAGATTAAATGAAGCAAGACTTCACGTGGTTTTACATGACAAACATTATTCTGCACATACAGACCTTTTAAAACGAACATCACACAAGCACATAATCATATGGTCAAATCAGCTGCCTCTTACTGTATAAAAAAATTAAAGTGTTGTAGTTTTTATATTTCACACCTGTTTTTAATAATTCAGTGCTTTGAGTTTTAGCTTCCATGGAAAAGTTATAAACAATATCTTACCTGCTGTGGATGGTTTTTTAGTCCAAGTGGCACCAAGACCAAAGCCAAATGATGCTGTCAAAACAACTTCAGTCTCAAAAAATATAATTGCCATTCACTGAACACCATTTTTTACATTTTATGCTATTTTTTGTTCACAATACGTGGTTGTTTACATACAATAAATAATGTGTTTCTATGTAAAGGTTTCTAAAATGTCGTTCACATGAACTAGTGGAAGATATTTGAGACTGAAGTTGTCTTTTAGACTATTTGTGACACATGAAAACTCCAAATTACTTATACAGTTGTATTTGTTGATTACATTTGTCACTTAAGCACGTTGACATTTTGTTACTGGTGCAATGCATTCTGGGGATGRTGATGTTATAGGTTACAGTTAAGATTAAAACACAAAGAGCTAAAATAATATATAAAGCTATGATGTGTGACAATAAATAAACATTTTTGCATTAGTTTTTATGTTCTGCTCAATTTTTGGTTTTAAATGATCAAACGTGATGTTTAGTAAATTATCTTTGGTGCTAACGCCACATATATGTATGTGGTGTAAGTTCCTGAGCTAAAATTAGCATTATCTAATATTATTAGCACTAACTAATATTAACACAGGTGCTAATGCTAATAATTGCTTGGGAGTTAATTTCATATRTTGCCATRTGTRTWTTAGCTTGAGAGCTAACATGAAAGCTAACAGGCTAAGCTGCGGTTCTCCTTCCATGAAGCAGCTCTTTTGTCCTCCATCTACATTTTCAGTTTCAGGCTGAGACATTTCTACATTCTCCTCTTTGAATTTTTTTTTTTTTTCTTTGGTTTTATAGTTGAAGTAAGTATTTACCAAATAATGTCAAAAATTACAATTAGTCCCTTTGAAGCGCAGCCTACAACAAGATATTAACTATTTATAACATTTCCAAATTACCTCATTTAAAAAAAAATCAAAGCTGTTTTGAATATTGATTAAAGCAGGGCCGTAAAAAGCATGAAATAAACACAAAATCTGTGGAAAAAAACACAAGTATAAAACAAAATATTGTATGCAGTTTGGAAATCTTTCTCCAGGATTCCAGCAGGGAGACTGAGAACCTCAGCAGCTGTAAAACRTCACAAAAACACGTCATTTATGGGTGTTTACATAAATAGCAGGAGAGGCCTGTTAGTTTACATACCTGTGTTGTAACTGTTTATATAACATTCTTTTTGTTACAGGTTCCACAGAGGCAGCCAAACAGCCCGTTGATCATCTGAGCGCCACAGAGGATCACCTGCACGCARCTGGTTGCCAGCAGAGTGCTGAACAGCCCGATGTGGAACTGCACGATGTCGTTGGGCGACGTACACAAAACCCATTGRGATTTGTCACTCAGGTAACTGGTCTCCCTGAGGAGAGTGAGAGAAAAAAGCTTTTCAAATCACCAGTCAAGTCACCAAAAGTTTGGAAACCCAACAAGGACCATCCAAATGTGGCATCACCTGTCTTTAAAAGGTGTGGTCCAAACCAACAAAACTTTACACAGGGGCCCGTTCTGCAAGCCGAGCACGGCCACAGCGAAGCTGTAGAGAGCGCCAACCACGCCCACAGCAGCAAACGCAATGGACAGGAACATCTGAGGTCACAGAAAGAGTCAGAGGTCAGAAACAAGGTGCTGATGTGGATTCTTAGTCACAAACCAAAACACTTGACTTCTGTAGATGAGGATGTTTCACTTCCCATCAGAGGAGCTTTCTCACTTCAAAACTGGAGACTGAGGAGATCAAAACTTCTTACCTGGATCCACATACAGATTTATTTATTTATTTATTTATTATAACCTTATTCTACCTCAGCCCTGTGTTTGCTTTAAGCAGAGTGCCGCCAGGGGTTACAGCCCACGTACACCACGGCCCACAGAGGCCACACCCTTCAAAGTTCTTCCAGGATGAATCAAGTGACTGTTAAATGAGCTGGTCTAAGGATGATGTAACCATAGTGTTACATTTTAGATCACACACCCACAAATGCCTAAAACCTWAAAAGCATTGGGACGTGTATTCACATGCCTTGTCATGGAAGGTATAACTTCACACAATTTAATGTGTTTTTTTTATTTTTTTTTTTGCATTACACATAAATACACAGAAGACATGAATAATTTGRGTTTAGCTCCAGTATCAGTACTTGGTTACTTAACGTCACACTGCAGCGTAAATTTCATCAGCTAAGTTGCAAAACAACAAATTCCTTGATCACTTTCCAAACTTGGYCTTTTCTTTTTCCTGTTTGATTTTCTGAYGGAGCAATGAATCCTGGGAYATCCTCGGCTGCAAAAGATAGTCAGATKCATCCTTTGATTTTAGGGTTTTGTGCACCTCATGAGGAGGAGACCATGAAATGGGACAGACATTGGCACGGAGCAGTGACCTAACCGGCCAACAAATGTGCACTACGTTGGCTGMGACCCCTGAAGTGAGGCAGACTTTAAGYATTGTCATTTTRTTTGCAACACAACAATGGAGGGCATTGAGCTTGTTTTTTAAAAATACAAATGTAATCAAACAAATGCTTTTATTCTGAAAGGGGRGAAATGAAAGTATTACCAGTTTGACGGAGCTATAACTCTAGTTTGGATTGGCCGATTTGCCACAGAAGATCCCAGCACTTTCAAATTAAACCAGCAGAAAACTAACAACAGGTTTGTGTCAGTCCCACCAGTCTTCAGCAGAAGAAGATGAAGACATTTGACACAAGCTGAGCGACAGTCTTAGCAGTTAGCGTTAGCTTCCACTAAATGTTTTGATTTGTTTGGCGATTAGTTTTAGCAGGGCTAAGATGGCGGATTAGTGKTTAGTGAACCTAACRTATGGTTCGCTGTGCCTACCACTGCAGGCCTGCACTAAACCTCGTGTCTCTGGGTTCTAGAYATCAGGTTGGAATTGGGCCATAACCTGAGTTTGAACCCAGGCTGGGCTGGGCTGGGCCGGGCCGGGCCGGGCCTGACTAAACAAAGATGCCATTTGTCAACCTGGCTCAAAGGAGAGATGCTTTGCTGTGAGTGAAACTGGCTGGGTATCAGGCTTAATGCTGCAGTATGAGTTGAAATCTGAGGCCTCTTCTGTTTAAAGTTRTTTTTCCTTGTTTGACATAAAGGCCTTCTTTTATCCCTCACTCTCAAACCAGCTGTCTACTCTCTCCAAATATAAATGYTTTAGTAATTTAAATCTTTATCATGAGTTTTGGCCTGAAGGGCTGACTCCTGTGTTTAGTTTCTCTGACATTCCACATCACTTAGTTTGTGTTTGGGGGGGTTTTGTCCTCAGGACAGACCAGGTTCTGTCTGAGAATCCTGGTAGGTTTGAAATGTACCAGAATGTTGTGTCCTGASTTTCTCAGATACTCCAGCAACACATGGTTTTCTCATAGTTTAAGACTCAAAACATCATAAACTACAGAACAGACGCTGAGTTTTTGTTTTAATTTAGTTTGTATCTGTGTCAGTTATTAAACAGCTCAAAACTGTTTAAAATGTTTTTTTCTTGAAGAAGGCACACTCCCTCGGCCGTCCAGTTATGACTCACATCCTGTTTTACCTCTCAGCATAACTTTACTCTGGTAGAACTCTAAATAAAGTTATAAAGTTTATTAATGATTCTATWACCTGCTTAAAAGCCACTCTAAAATAAACAGATTATTATTTTCATCACTTTGATCTTATTTTCACAGCATTAGATAGTTTCTATTGTCGGCGGGTTTCCTGCTCAGAGGCTTGATTAATTATTTCTCTATATTGCACCTGGAGAGCGCTCGGGTGCAATAAACCCATTTTGTTGTTCCTTTTAGAGTTAATCATTCAYATTCAGCCCTCAGGAAGCGCCTGACTCACCCCACAGCGATTTCCACAGCAGCCCTGTTTCCCAGTCAGGTGAATGTAAAGCGCAGGGAGCAGCACCTGCAGAGGACAAACAAGTTTCACACTGAATGTATKGCAAAACACAAAATCAACCACATTCRTTAGTGTTTAAAATTYATTAAAGAGCCAAATCAAGTTTATATYATGTCCTTTAGATAAATAAAAACCACTCACCATTACTCCCCCTCCTATGAGCCCCCCCATGTATTTCACCTCCTCAGTGATGTGCCCATCCTTGGCGTATTGCACGTCCCCAGCAGGAAAGAACAACACGATGTTACAGATGATGGATATGAGCGCCAGTGGGTACAGAGCWACAGCGATGAAGCGGGAACATTTCCCAGTACACATGTTGACCAGCTGCTGGAGGGAAAAAAGACTCAGTGAAGTTTCTGTCCCCTGAGAGGCCCGACCTGACTCTGGTTTAAAGAAGGCTGAAGTGATTTTGAAATGGGGACGCCCCAGAGTCACTTCAGTTCTGCAGTGGGAGGTGGAACAGATAAGGGAGACAAACAGACTCTGAGYCAGGAAGAAGGAGTGACTCATCTGTTGTCATGATATACAAGGTTTGTTTTGTTTGTGGGACWAGTTCCACTTTTTCAGTGGTCATGTGGCTGCAGGCAGGGAACATAACATGCATATTTAGCTGAATAAACAAACATTTGTCACTTTTTTTTCTTTCTTTCTCTTTTTTTAATGGGTCCATCATCTTTGCTCACTTTTTCCTTTCTGGATCATGCAGGTCAGTGATCCAGAGGTCACGAGGGGTGGGGTTAGGTTAACTCTCTCTCACACCTAGCAACAGGGAAGGAAATTTTTCAAAATTCCCACCAGTCGCAGAGGCTAGTGTGGAAAATTTAATTTCAACCACTCAAAATTCTCACCAGCCACTATGTTTTTGTTTGCACATCATTGTGTTATTTACACAATTCATGGTCCTTGGCCTRTTCAAAATGACATTCAAAATGTAATCAGTGATTAATTTCCTGCTCAGACCCATTATTTCTGTGTCAAAAGCAAACACTGAAAGTTTTGCTTCATTAGTTTTCAACATGCAGTGGTTTTAGGAAAGACAATTTTTAGATTATTCAAGCCCTTTTTGCCTAAAATTGAAAAGATGGCATTTACAAAGTCTCCATCTGTTATCTCTCATTACACCAAACCTTACTTTTTGCTAAAATAGATGAAACTCCTCTAAATATTTTTAAGTAGGCTTCTTTGCTCGCTTGGAAAAAGTTATTAAGCCTTAATGATGCCTTTAGGACAAATTTTGAAGGTAGTACAAAAGGTGAAAAGTGATTAAATCTATAAAATGTCACAAGGTTTCTTTTATAACCTAGTTTGCCTGTTTTTTTATTTATTTATTTATTTTTTGTTTTGTTTGGAATTGGATTGAAAAATACATATAAATATTTAGAATAAAAAGAAGCAGGCTTTAAAAAAACTTTATCCAAATGAACTTGTCTGCAAAAGTTGTCTCACGCTTGGAAATATCCATCCATCCATCCATCCATTTTCTTCCGCCTATCCAGGGTCGGGTCGTGGGGGCAGCAGCCCAAGAAGAGAAACCCAGACTTCCCTCTCCCCAGCCACTTCTTCCAGCTCCTCCGGGGGAACYCCAAGGCGTTCCCAGACCAGCCGAGAGACATAGTCCCTCCAGCGTGTCCTGGGTCTTCCTCGGGGCCTCCTCCCGGTGGGACGTGCCCGGAATACCTCACCAGGGAGGCGTCCAGGAGGCATCCTTACCAGATGCCCGAGCCACCTCAACTGGATCCTCTCGACGTGGAGGAGCAGCGGCTCTACTCTGAGTCCCTCCCGGATGACTGAGCTTCTCACCCTATCTCTAAGGGAGAGCCCAGCCACCCTGCGGAGGAAACCCATTTCGGCCGCTTGTATCCGGGACCTCGTTCTTTCGGTCATGACCCAAAGCTCATGACCATAGATGAGGGTAGGAACGTAGATCGACCGGTAAATCGAGAGCTTCGCTTTCTGACTCAGCTCTCTCTTCACCACGACGGACCGGTACAGCGCCCGCTTTACAGCAGACGCTGCGCCAATCCGCCTGTCGATCTCCCCCTCCGTTCTTCCCCCATTCGTGAACAAGATCCCCAGATACTTAAACTCCTCCACTTGAGACAGGGCGACCCCCCTGACCCGGAGAAGGCACTCTGCCCTTTTCCGGCTCAAGACCATGGCCTCGGATTTGGAGGCACTGAGCYTCATCCCGGCCGCTTCGCACTCGGCCGCGAACCGCTCCAGCGAGAGCTGCAGATCTCGTTCCGATGAAGCCAACAGGACCGGCTAACAGGCTTGGAAATATGGTGATAATACAACTAGTGCTGATCAGATTCAAACACAGCATCAGGACCATAGGCGTAATTTACAGAAGGGTAAGGGGGGTTATGACAACCCCCCCCCCCAAATAAAATGACACAATTTGCCCTAACACAAAAGAAATTAACAGCGTAAGTACACAGCTATAACTCTCTTGTTTTTTTAGGTAACTGACCTGATTTCAAAATTTATGATGTCATGCGTACATTTAAGCATAATTGCTGAAAATGACTTGCAGGGAAACCCACAGCATAACCCCCCAATGATAGACCTACATTTAACCCTTGGTTTTGAACAATCCAATAGATCACGGTAATAAAATTTAAAATATTTAATAACTGCTATAAAGTGTTTTTTAACTAACTTTCTTTGATATTTTTGTTCGATGGACCACATTTGACGCATTGGCAGTTAAACCTTTTCAACCTGCTGAGTTCTGAGTTCAGGTTTTTGCAGCAGACTGACAGTAACTCGCCATTGTTCAATTTTCTTTATTTACATTTTTCGTAAAAATAAAAACGCGCCATGTATCTTTCAGTTCTGTTCCTCTTGAGAAATGCTTTTGTTAACTGCCGTCTGCTTAATGTAACACTGCGTTATGGTTTAGTTTATTAATGATYCTCATTAATTATTACCTCAGCAATTACTATTCTTCCTGGGGTCCACATAAAAAATATCATATTGTTTTTTATTTTCTCCTTCTTCTGATAATGGTATTTACAGCAGGTGCAGTAACTCAGGTGCAGCTGTCCCCATAGTTCAGTTGCATATATTGAATGCAGCTTTTTTGAAGTTACAAACTCACCGCAGTTGCAGTTGCGTTGGTAAGATTTGCACGCCACTTCATATTTTTTATCCACATTTACCCAGTGGYGGGTGCTAATTTCAGAACATATTTGGTCTGTGGGAAGAAGCCAGAGGAAACCCATGTATGCACAAACAGACTTGCAAACAACCTTCTCACTGAGAGGCAACAGCTCTGCCAACTGAGCCACCATGCTGCCTGTCACTCAGGTATTCTTTTATTTCAATGCAAGAAACAAAACAAAAAGCTACTTTATTCACCCTGGTGTGGCTGACATTCTTTCAGTGTTGACATTGTGACAGCAGGAGTGCAGAGGAGTTGAACTTTAGACTGAGCCAGGACCATGTGTGACTCACGCCCATAAATCCCTGATCAATGAGGAACAGTTAAACACTGACAGAGCATTTATCAGCTTCCACAGTGAAGAAACCGATCCCAGCAGATAATGCATTGATTCAGAACTGGAAMCTGAGCACAAGGTTTTTCAAACACACGTGGTCTCCTGGAAACATCTGGGCGAGGCGGCGTGAGTCACTGAGATAACATTCACAACTCTTAAAGAGTTTTATCAGACGGCGAGGTCTCCCCGCCAAAAACAAATGAAAAATTAATTAATTATTTCTTTTTTTAACCACTTCCTTAATCCTTGTGACGTCTGAAAACACACAGGGCTGAAGAAAGTCCAGCCTCTTTCCTCCATGAGGGTTTTACTGATAAGGRTGTAAATAAATAAAAAAAGAATTATTCAAACACAAAATGAGTTCCTCCATGTTGTTATGACGGCGTCCCCTGAAATCAGACAACAGACATGACAAAAACATCCAGCGTTCTACAAGTCTCAGCAGGTTAAATGTTCACATTTATGATGAAACAACAACAAAAGGGTAGGCATGGAAGACTCGAAAAGACTTCAAAGAAAGATCCTTTTAGAACTTAGATCTGTTCATCTGAATGAAGCAAAAAACCTCTGGATCAAAAGCAAACCTGTCAATAATTCAAAGCGTCATGTTTAAGGTTGGGCACCGTTTAAATGTGAACKATTCTGGTTCCTCATTTCCATTTTGATTCCCAATTCTGATTGTTTTTAGCATCAGGGTCTAAATAGTTAACATGGTGTATATATAAGGTAACTAACCATTTCTGGGTGAACTATTCTTCTCTAAAAATTTTAATTCTATGAACTTTTTATGAACTTTACTAAGAATTCCTGACAGGGCCTAAATATCAAACCTATGAAATTGTGATTTTTTCTTCATCCTGCTGCAGGTATAAACATGTTCCTGAGCTGATGTAGTTTTAAGCTCTAGTAGAACTTGTTAGCTGCCTCAGTGTTGGTATTAGACATATTTTATTATTTTACTTACCCACGAGTGTCAGCGAAGGTTCACGCAGCACGTCCAAGACAGAAGCTGGTGTTTAATCATGTTGGTTGTGTGTCCTCTTTTAAGATAAATCTTATTACTTTATTAAAGTTAAACTTTAGGTTACCTGAGGATTTTTCTTTGTTTGTGTGTTGTGGAAATATTTATTTAACGAGGACAGAAACACATGATCCAAAGAATAAGAAACTTCGCTGAAAGTCTCCATCTAGAAGTGGTTGCTGCAAATTAATTTTAACTAAAAATAGTTTTAGTTAAAATGGAAAAAATAAAGACAGAAGCCAAGGAGTGCAATCAAAATGAGTAGTTTATAAAGATAAGAAGAAAAATGTATAAATCAGACATCATAGATTTTTTTTTCTCATTATTTATTTAAATTCTTTGTGCAGAAGCCAAATTATAACAAGTGAAACTATTAACACATTTTTTTGTTTCTGTGTGTTTTTTGCTGTATTTGGATCAAACTGACAAAAATCTTCAAAAACTAACAGTAATGTCTGTAAGCAGCATCCTCCATATCCCTTCAGTATTAATGTCAAACTCTTTATAACAGAAATACAGCTTGACCACTAAGAACTAATGCTGGACACATTTTAAACCATTTAATAGCAGATTTATTTAAATGTTGTAATACTGACCTCCCTGCGCAGCTGAAAACTCTTTGGTCAAAATTGTGCATAACAAAAAAAAGCTAATAAAATGCAGATATATGAACCACTTTACTCAGCAGTTATGGCTTCAGATGTTCCGAACGTTGTTTCCTCACAAACTCATGCTTTCTGTGGATTTAAAACAAACAACAGTGAGACGAAGACATCGAGGAGGAGAGGTCCAGATGCTGTGAAGTTCATTCGACTCTCCTGACCTCTTGGTCGTTGCAGGTTCCGCACAGACACCCGACAAAGCCGTTGATGATCTGCCCAGCGCAGACCAGCGCCTGCACGATGCTGGCCACCATCAGAGTGATGAACAGACCAACGTTGAACTTCATCACGTTCTTTGGCTCTTTGCACAGATTCCATAATTCGGAGTCACTCATCGGACCAAGGTTGCTGCATAAACAAAACAAAGCACTTAGATACAACATCCCTTTATTCTTGTCAAATAGAGACGTCACAGAGTTGCTTTAACTCATCACCCGTTTTTTAAAGGCCTCCCCCAGTTGTCATCTTGAGTTATACACAAAGGCCCATTGGTGAAACCAAGCAGTGCCACGATGAAGCTGTACACTGCGCCTGCAACACCTGCAGCTGCAAATACGATGGAAAAGAACATCTGTCGAAGATAGGTGAGAACAACAGGTCAGAAACATTTTACTGCACATTTTGAAAACACAAAGGTATTTGTTGGTTTCACCTGTAAAACAACAACCCCATCTAATTCATCTCCTGAAACTCACATTTGCTGTCTTGGTCTTAAGAAACAAGACATTCATTATCGAACATTTTATTTATATAACAAACAGCAGATTCAGGAGCATGTGAAAGAACCATACACAGCTCTTGCTGCTGTGCAATGGTGTCCCATTATCAACCAGCTCCTCGGTCATCCTTTTCAGTTTCAGACTAAGTCATTTCATGCTCCTCTCTGTCCAGAAGCCCTGGTTTCATTTAAAAGGGCCGAACGTCAGACATTATCTAAAATTAACCTTCAAGCTTGTTGGAGCTTGCACCAAAGCATTGTTTGATATTTGATTATAGCCTAATGTCACAACTATGGTCGGAGTTCCCTGTTAGGCCAGTCAGTAGAGTTGTGTTGCTCAGTGAGAAACTGAGTGTCCAAAGCTGATCCCACTGTTCAGTAGGGTTGAGGCCACTCCATTCTCTCTGCCAGATTCTGGAGAATACTTCGCTCTGAAGGGGAGAATATTGTCATCCTGGAGGAGAGTTTGGTCTCAGACTGCGGAAACATGCAGTTGTTACTGTCCAGAGAATTTCATCTTGGATGTCCATGACATCCCCCAGTTTTATGAAACTCAGCCTCTAATTTGGGCTGACTCCAAGTAATGCTGCAATAAATCTGCTCTGTAGCACAACACCAACTGACCACTGTAGCAAGGTCCATGTCCACGGGACATCTGGAGTATCAGAAGCTAAAAACAAGAGAATAAGCTATTCAGTACTAAAGAAAATATGACAAGTTTTTCATGGTTCTAACAAATGTGGCACCATTTTAGGGGAAATAAACAGGCACAAGTTTAATTGTCAAGAAGCATTGTTACACCAAAGAATTAACTGACCAAACACAAATTTCCCACATAAGTATTCGAATTACACCTTTTGCATAAAGATTTATGCAGAAATGCTGAACCTGGGGGTAAAAACTGTTGAGAAATGTTTGGTTTTCTGTTATCTGTATCAAATCGTTCTCACATCCTGTGCAACAATGATACAGCACAACGCAGCAGACTTTTCTTCTTCTTTTACAAAATGACGGTGTTAAAATAATTGAGTTTAGTTTAATTTTCTCTGACTTGACAGCTGTAGAAAAACCCCTTTGTTCGACTCACCCCGAAGCGATTTGCACAGCAGCCCTGTTCTCCGGTCAGATGGATGTAGAGTGCAGGGATCAGAGCCTGAGTTCAGGTGACAGAGAATCAGTAGGACACATGATCAAAAAGGTTTACAAATTTGGTCAAAACATTTGTCTCAGCAACTTTTCAGCATTTTTTATTCAATTTTTTGCTTGATCATTATAGATGCTAACTCAAAATAGCTAAAATTACTTGATAAACGACTTTTTAAAAGTTTATTTGCTGAAAGGTGATTCTCGAACTCCTAACATGGCACAAAGCAATGCAAAATATTTCACAAAAATAATCTTTTTGGTTAGAAACCAAGAAATAAAAGCAAGAACTCACCAAAACCCCTCCTCCGATGAATCCCCCCATGTACTTCACCTCCTCAGTAATGTTGCCCTCTTTGGCGTACTTGGTCGTCCAGTCAGGGAAGAACAGCAGAATGTTGCAGATGACCGACAGAAGGGCCAGAGGGTACAAGGTGATGGCCACGAAGAGGGAGCATTTTCCAGTACACATGTTGTCACTACGAACACTGACCAACTGAGGTAAGTCTTGTGTTCTGTAAAGATTGGCTCCGATGGTTCCTGTTTTCAGAAAAGAGACCAAAAATGACCACGTTTACTCGCTCAGAACTGGAGGAGGGGTGGAGCTTATTATGTGACAATTGTGTGACTCAGTTTTGTGTACCTCTATTACATTTTTGGGGCCAGGGGAACCGCTGTGTTCCCACGCATCCAGTGGAGCATCAACTGTGCGTAAAACTTATACTGTGAAAGGACCAAAAGCAACAATCCTAAATATAATGCCCCTAACGATGAACATGTAGGATTATTTTTCTCCTCAGAAGGTGGARTCTATAGTTACTATCCTATAAATATAGTCTTATAGCTCTGGGTCAGACTCTGGCTCTGACGTGTTGGCTGGATGGACAAGTCTTCTCTTACTGACATTTTTTAATTAATTTATAAATAAAACGTTCCTGTGCAGCTAAATAGGTGGTTGGGGTGTGAAGCACTTTGTTTGGCTTTACATAGACAGCCTGAAAACGAGTTGATCTAATGGTGCGTTCACACCGAACGCAATTTCAGCATCAGGTGCCTCAGGTTTACATGCAAAGTCTGTGGTGGACGTGCTTCAAGCAATGTCGGGAAGTGCTGCGGCGCCTCAAGCGCGATTAGAGCAGCGCGATTTGAACGATTTGAATGATCTGAGGGTTCGACGCGCTGAGGCGCAAATCGCTGAAGTTAGAAAATCTGAACTTTTGCAGCTCGACGCGCCACGTCAACCAAATCAG